TCTTTTGGAGAGCTTTTGGCCCGTTCTCGCTCACACCCTAATCAGGAAATCATTTGTGATTTGGAGGGGAACCCCACCACCTGGGCCGGTCCACTTCCATCTGTAGCTACCGTGTCCAATGGTATTGTTGGGCATCACCTACTCAGCTCCGATTCCGCGATCCGGAAAGCTTCGTGTCGGGGAATACCCATAATAATCGTTTAGCTTGGGATAGCATATTGACCGATCCAAGCGCCACACGCATTAGGAATTGGATCACAGAAGGAGTTAATATTAAGGATTTCTTCTCGCATTTTAACGGAAGATTTCAAGGGCGTAGATACGACTCGGACTTTCCCCCCGGGCTTCCTTTCCAAATTCAAAAACCTGCGTCAATTTTCACGACTTTATCTCCGAAACCACCCAAATCCCTGAATCTATATCAGAGGGAGTCCGCTCATAGTTTTCGTAGCGGCTGTGCAGTTACCCTCTCACTTCTGGGCGTATCTCCAGAGGACGTAGCGAGGCACGTGGGATGGAAATCAATAACAACAACAGAATACTACTCCCAATGCGGCAAAGTCATGAACTCCGATCTCGCCGCATCTGCTCTCTCGGCTGCCACTATGCCGACGAAAGAATCCCCACCTACGGCACCTCTCTGCCTCAGACCTATCAGACAAACGACGTACTTCGTAATTGGTCACTCGCCTTTAAGTAGTTCCTTCACAGGGCGTAAGAGGGTTTTTTGAGTTATGAAGAAGGATACTCAATAAAAATGGTTTGGTACCTTTAAAACGGGTTTTTCGGTACTGTAAGCGATTCTGGTTGTCGTAGTGAATCGCGTTTCCCATATCTTAATTCCCTATCCGGGACAATGAGTGGTCAGCCTCTCAGTGAAAATGTCTTACTATTCTCACTGAGAAAATTACCACGATTTTGCTCCCGCGTTCAATAAATAACGTTCAGCATGATGGTTATTGCACGAGGTGCGTGTAATTCCATCCCTCGGGGCATTGGGAAGGTTTTTAAACCAACACCGAGCCTGTTTCGCCGTCTTTTCGCAAATCCGGTTTGGGAAGCAAACTCTTGCTGCGACCCTCCCTCCTCCCCTTCGGCGACGTTCACTACTTCACATACCCTTCACCACTCAAT